ACATTGAGTATAATATTGATATCATGTCTGAGATATGTATACAGTTTAAGTTTATACGCTTGGGATGAGTAGGCATTCAGTTGCCTTAGAGTATATCCTAAGTTCTGATGGAGGCCCTTAGTTGCCTTGAGAAATATCCATCAGATTGTGCACAAGTATCCGATCAGATATCGGCCAGATTCAGTTTCAGTTACTGGAAAAGATTTCCAGTCCAGTTATATACCAACGATCATGATATTGTATTATTATTGCTGTTTACTTTAATATGGGTGTTTTCGGGGTACAAAAGGATCAGTACTCACCCCCATTGTGTTTTTCAGGTAACAAGGTCGGGCCGGAGGTGTGAGCTCGATATGTGGTGGTGGTGGTCGTGCACTTCTTTCAGTGGACATTTATTATGAACTTGATATGCCTGTATAATTATTCACGTTTTTAAGTATTTCCGCTACGCATATTAAGACTTGAACTTGCATTTTAATAAATTTCAGATTTCAAGTTTTTATCATTTCAAAAGTATGAATATGATATAGTTAAATGTCAGTTTAAATAAATCTGTTTTTTTATGTCTAAAGAAGTATTAGACTACGTTTAAAGATAAACAGATTTTTAGAAAAGATGAGTTTGAGTAGCATCCTGAGTTAGTCGCAAAAGATTTCGAAAGAGTTATAAGTATTTTCGAAATAAAAGTTGCGAAAAATTTACTCTGATGAGCGGGGTGTTACAGTTTGGTTCTTCCTGTATGTCTTGGGTTTCTTGCTTTGTGATGTATTTCTCTGTTGGTGTTATTACTTTGGTTGATTTGTTTAGTAAGTTGGTTTAGGCTAGCCTATGGCTTGGTCCTCCCAGTTACCCAGGAATGGGAGTCTTTCCTTGTAAACATTGCCCGTGTTTAGGGTTTTTTATGGCGTTGATTATATCGTTGGAGAAAAAATTATATACTAGTAATCAACATGTGCATTTGCACATAAAAGAATACTTTAAAAAGATAACAATATAAAAAAAAAAAAATCATAATTTAATTTATGAAAAAAAAATATGAATTAAGAAAATAATTCTCAAAATTGATTTTAATCAAGTAATTGCTATGTAGAATAAAATTTAATGCTTGAGATTGAATTGCTATGGAGAATAAAATTTAATCAAGTTATTTTATAACTTAAAAATGAAATTGAATGCTGAAATTTTTGGAGGGAGAATAAAATTTAATGTATGATAATAAAATTAAATGCTTTGTTGCTCCTCTTTATATATATATATATATATAGATATATAGATTACTAGAAATGGTCACCAAATGAGATATGGAGTTTGGAGGATCAATCCATAGAGAAATAGTGGAAGTGTAATGTGTTGCGTATCTATCTTGTGACTGAGCAATGACAATGTCGGAATAAGGGATCCAAAATAATCTAGTAGAAGGAAAATGAGATAAACAAGCACTACATCATCTATAATAGGCTAACCGCTCGAAGGAGCATCAATCATACAAAGTGCAGCTTGAACGATCAAGGATGAGTCCACCATGACTGCCACATTCAGAATATTTAACCTCTGAGCCAAGAGAACCATGTACTACAATGCAAAGGCTTCGTCTAAATCTGAATCAACAATTCCAACAAAACGACACGACAGAGCTTGTAAAAAAGCTCCATTGGAAGGGACAACAATTGTAGGGAGAAGAGACAAAGACTGATCAAACACCTCAGGATTTGAGGAATGTGGAGCGAATTCACTCATGATTTGACTTGCATTCAACACGATATTCCACAGCCTTGCCAATTTCTGCTCGAAAATTACTCCATTACCAAATAGCAGCAGAAATTCGATGTGCGTGCTCTTCATATTAATCAAACAATTCTGATACCATGTCTCACATGTTGCTTCTGAAGCTTTCAGACAATAATAAGTAGGCCAGCAATGCGTAATGCCGTGAGAATAAAATTGTAGTCGAAGAAGGTATGCAGGCTGGAAGGCGCTAAAGCTAAACAGAGAGGAAAGGTTCCATAAATTGTCACATTTTTGCGAGCTATATTATTCGGGGTTGGGAGGGCATTGAGGTACAGACGCCACACGAAAATGTGGGTTTAACGGGGCAGCTTGAGATTCCAAATCATATGCCAAACAAAGTCGCGGGCTCCCAATGGTTGGGGTGTTGCTGAAGACAAGCACGAAGCATAAAGAGGAGCATTCATCCGCTGGAAATATGTAGAATGAACAGAAAATTTTTATTCTTGAATCTTACGAACAAGGGGAATTAATTATTCATCTTGAGACTGAGAATAGATATATAACAATTGATCAACGACTTAACGTTCTCTAGAGAGAGGTTAGGTTACTTTAACAATTATCCGTACGATTGGTAAAATTAAATAAGATTTGAATGAATATAAACTATTTTGTAGAATGATTTCGAGGAAAACTTAGCCTAGAACCTACTTTCTCATTTTTTTTATTTTATTATAATTTAGTAAAAGTCTTCATTAGTTGTTACAATTAATTTATCGTTATTCGTTAATTTTTTATTTAGAACTTCATCAGAACTTGCGTTAGTCTAAATAATATTTAATCATATGTATTTTGATATTTATTATTTAATGACAATATTTGTGCAATGCGACCTTGCTCGCCGCTTACTATAGCTACACCGTACACTTGCGGGTAGTGAAAATATTTTTTGAACATCCTTATTTGTTGTGGAGTAGTTTTTAGCGAGTAGGAGAAAAATTCTAACCTCGGTTGTGTCACTCAAAAAAGACTGTTCGGAATTGGATTCAGGCAACGATTAATCAGTAAACAACAAATAAAGTTTTAAACATTGTAGTTGCAAATGAGTTGGTTGAATAGGGCTAAATCAAGCAAAAGTGAACTTAAATATTGAACAAAAGAATCTCAAGAGCGCGATAAATGAAAAATAAAAGAGAATTAAGTACCCTAAGACAAAAGATGCAAAACAACCGTTTAAAGGTTCAGAAATATACGATCAAATAATCAAATACTAGGCAAGAATTATTTGGCTATCATGTTAACTTATGCTAACACATCGAGCAATACAATGGATAAACCATAGGGTAACTCATTTAGGAATATCCCTCATGCACAAATTTTTGCCTAGATGTTGGGTTCTATTAGAAACGTCTGCTATGTGCACATTCGAATCTATTGAAAAATAAATCCTAACGCAGCGGAATCTATAGTTAGGATTATGATTTACGATTTAAATTTTTGTCGACTTTAAGACGTTTCTGATTTCCGCTGTAAGAGATCGTCTGAACTGCAGAGTCCGCTGGGCAGCCGGACTAAGCCTCATCAATGCGTCTCCGGTTACTCGTCAGGCTCGTCACATCATCTTAGACCTTCGATGGGTTAGTCGGACCGCTCAAGAGCTGTCCTGGGCACCAACCGGGACTGTTGGGCCGAGCTGAGCCGGTTTGGAGCTCGATGGCCGCGTCTGGGCTGGTCTGGAGCTGTTGGGCTTGAGCTGGACACGCTAGGCTCGCTGGGAGGAGAGCTGGGTTTCTTGACCACGCTAATGGCAGCGGATGCTCATTGGGCCGGGAGGCGTGCACACGGGCCTCGTATGCTGCAAGAAGGCATGTTGGAACGTGGGCCTACACGCGGGCTGGACAGACTGAATACAACGAGGTTTTGCGAGCTGGACGCGAGTCCCGTGGGCTGGATGCAGCCGGTGCACTTTTCCTTCTCTTGCTGGGCTTCGCGCGATGTTGAGCCATGCATACTGGGCTGAAGACTGCTACTGGGCTTCTTCAGTGACGGGTCGTACTCTGCTTGACTTCTCATCTGCTAGGGCTAGACGCACGCAAACTGGGCTTATGCGCAGAATGGACACGCGCGCTGGGCACGGCTGCATGCCTGGTTGCGTTGGGTGGTTTCCGGCCGGTCGCCGGTGACACCATCACGTACAGTTTTCGTCGATGATCATCTTCTCCAAATTTTGTGGCCATCAAACAACTTTCGGATAACCCCGTAAATTACAGATATATTACGGGATCAAGTATATTCAACGGGATCCTTATAAACTCGTCGGAATACGAATAAACGACCTTTGAATATTCTATTGTATGACCTTTACGCAATCTGCAATAAATCTTGGTGGAGCGATTTATTGGAAAAAACGTGAGATTCATCAATCTTGGAGGCTAGTGGACTTAGTGTATTTATATGCTACAATTGGGACCCTAATGAGGTGCTAAATATGAGCTTATTCAATCAGGGTTAGAAAACATTTTATTCTCCAACTCCTTCTCTAACTCCTTTCCCTTCTAGAAGACTTAATTCCTTCCAACGTAATCACCCCTTCTAGAAGACTCTCAAGTCTCCTAAACTTTTGTAATATTTTAGAATGAATTATATACATACTTCTATTTAGGAAATTAATTAATATAGAATAAATTAATTACTTTTCGTTTTAATTGAATTAAATAATAAAACATTCAACTAAAGACTAATTACTTTCCCCATTTAGCTCCATATTACAATTAGTTCGTCTCAACTTGTCTATTGAGTAAATTGCTCGATTTACCATCCCCATTATTACGATATAACATTCATTGATTAATTTAATTACTGACAATAAAATAAAATTAATTAAATTTTTTATTTGATAATAGTACCACTCAATTCCTTATCCATAATGTCGAAAATTAATCCGCCGGTCGGGCTTGACATAATGATCCTTGTTGAGCTCATTTCGGGGACGCCATCAACCCAGCCCTTCCCGGGACACGGTGATCGTAAACAATCTTAACGGCAAATCATGCACTGTGCATTACTTACCAAAATACATAGTTTGTCGACCTAACAAAGTAAGTCTCACCCATAGTAAATCAAATTAATAAATAAGTATTGAATACATGTGTATGTTTATTGCCTTACGACTTAAGAGAACACAACAATTTCTGAAGTCTAGATTATTTAAACTTTTGTACTGTAAATATTCTATAAATAAACTTTTGTTCTGTAATGATATGTAATATAGTAATCTATTTGATCCCACAACCATGATCAACTTGAATAACCCTGTATTTAATTAAATCAAGATCCTCATTACAATGATATCGTTTTATGACATCCTCACTGGATTCACCAAGTAAACAGTCCTCACCCATACCCCAAATCATACCACACTCCTCACTTGCTATCAGATTATCAATATCGATTTCCCCACTGCACAGGACATTAGCAATATGCATACTGTATGGTGCCGCAACATTAATATAACAGCCTTGCGGTACTATATAGTCATCATCGGGTTTAGGTTCGTCATCAGGAATGGCACATTTTTTCCCCATCGATTCTTTATCCTCACTATTATTTTTGGTTACAATTGCATTGCCTTCTGTTGATTGTCTTTCGAATTCCGCTTGAAAATGAAGCGAGGACGATCGGCCTTCCAATGTCCATCTCTGGATGGCTTGAGATTCATGCAGGCTATTAATTAAATGAGAATGATTGAAATGTTGGCTATGGTCTTTGGTTTAGGATTCATAGCGATACCAATTCTTAGTGATCGATCTGTGATGCTTCATACAGATTCTGAACATATATATTAGAATTCAAACAGTTTTAGTTTGAGGAATTAATGGTGCGGGTGCCATGTTAATTACCACTACCATTTAATATTAGGTAACCTACATACACATTCTGTAATTTATTCCGTGTATTGACGTTAAACAGTTTGAGGATAGAATTTCTAGCCATTTTCATTTTTCTTTCTTTTTTTTTTTTAATGATAAATCAAAGGTCCATGTTTTCAATGCTAAAAGTCTAACTGATTTTATAAGATAATAATAAAAGAATGACCCATATGACGTACAAAATATCATTTTTGGACATTAATTTATTTAGTGCATTAATATTCGAAAAATTAGATTGCTTGATTATAAATTAGTTTAACACTTTTAAGTTTGTCAAACGAATGATAACTTTCCTCATTCATATTGTATAATATAATATTTCATGCTTACAAGATCCACCAACAGTACTCTTTCTTAGTCATATCATCCCCTTATATATAATCAAGTGGCAGCTTCACATGCTTCATAATGCAATACACAGAACATAACATACTCAGAAATGAAGGTATGTCAACTCCCTCCCTCTCTGTGAGTCTGCACAGGCACAAATATAGGGCAAGAATGCGGCACGTCACGTATCGTCAATCTGACAGTTATAAGCCAGATCTTGAATGACGAGGTGACAGTTTAAGTCACAATATTTTCTGCAGACAAGCTTGTGGCAAACTTTACATGTCTGTGCAGAAAAGTTAAAACAATAAATAATTATGATAAGAAACAGTAATGATGATGATGATGATGATATATTACCTAGAAAAGATGAGCATTCCAATACATAAAATACGCTCCTGCGAAGAGATAAAAAACCATGTTGTTAGGATTACTGCATAGAGGTCATCCATCCACATAATATATTCTAAGCTCTATAAGATATGTCATCCTTTTCCAACATGAACCTAATTTCCATGGTTCTTGTATTGGCAGTACCAAAAAAGTGATAATGGACCTGTAATCATGCACAAAAGATTGTTAACTCGTAGTTTTACCCAACAAAGAAGCACAAGGCTGGTTGCGCCTGATCCAAATCCAATAATGCATCTTCGTTATCCTTCAGAATTAATCCAAGGATCTCTTCCAAAAGATACGGTAACTGTGCAAACAGCCAGAGCACTACTAAATACTTCAGAATACCTCTAAAAGACCTTCTAAGAAAAATGTAGTTCCCGAATATGCCACCTCTGTATCATACACTACACCAACATGCCAATACCGTCACTGTGAGCCGAGCCAGAGAGAGTGAGTATGTAATCCTTTTCACAAATCCATCTGAATCCAAACACGTAATTATAAAGTAGGAAATGTAAAAAACCTTGGACTTTCAAATCTTTCGATCCAAACAAAACCTTAATAAAAATGATTGCATAGACTGTTTCGATCCTCGGATAATTATATATCAAATTGCACAACTAGCAATGGTGCCATTGTTATCCACGTATGGTGCACTTAAATATATAATACGTCAAAATCCAACCAATAGCCGATTTGCAAACAATTTTATCTTCCCAAACAACTTTTATCTTCAAGACAGAAGAAATCAGTGGCAAATTTTAGGGACTTCCATGTTTGATACCCAGCAGCATAAATGTCTAATACAAGTAGGAGAAAATGGTATCCTAATTGCATTGAATCCGTGTTTTTGGTTGCTCAGCCTCCACTCTGAGTTGAGAATTGAGGCACACGGCCAAGGGGAATCATCACGTCCTTCATTATCTCAAATTCTTCCATGCTGATCTGTGCACCCTCAAGGATCTATGTATTGTCACTCAAAAAAATCAGAAATTTGCTGTCCCAAAAAAAACAAAAAAAAAAAAAAAGAACAAGTAGAATTCTGCGAGTACCTTGGGAAGCAAAATCCTCCTACCAACCATATGTTGTGTGAGCGCAGGGATTCTAGCGACTGAAAGAGCATCAAGAAACAGAAGGACAATAACTTGCCACTGTTTCATCCTGAATGCTGGGAGTGGGTCCATAAATGACATTGTGTCCAGCAAGTGTCCCTGCAAAAAACCATACAGAGGACAAATTGAACCATTTTTAGCCAAAGAAAATAGAACCTTAAAGGATTGGCAAAATACATTTATTTTAAAGTTCTTTCAGTATATGATAAAGAAAGTTCCGGCAAAATACATTTATTTAAAGTTCTTTCAGTATATGATAAAGAAAGTTCCTCCAAAAGGAAAGATAGAATTACTGCAAATGCTAGGGCGAACAAAATGATCAGGAAGATCTTGCTACCACTACAAATGTGAAAAAAAAAAAATGTTAGAGATACTAATCTCCAATATAATAGGATTTTATATAGTCATCTTATTTAATTATGATTCCGTGATAGCTACATAAATTAGGCATCATATTAATAGGATGAGTTGAAAAGGTATTATCTCTTCTTTGGGCAATTCATAGGAACTGAGAAGCAGGGTTATCTCTACGGCTGCTATTGCAGATTTCATTACCCTCTATAAAATTATTTATCTCCATCAATATACTCCTTGTTCATGTAGAGTTTCTGTAAAATACGGCATATAAGAATATTCTAAGACAAGAAACATTTCAACGGGGACTAGAACAAGATATAAGTCTCGCATGTTTACATAAAACAAAAGTTAAATTGGTTCGACTAATTAACTAAACTAAGTTTAATATTTAATAAAAGGAACAAAAAAATATCTATTGTCAGACATAAATAACAGTGAATGGTTGGCAAATCAAATGCTGTAAATCGGCATTTTCATGTAGTCTAACCATTGCCTACAATTTTTTGCCCTTTCTAGCCAAATTCCCTCGTCCTCTACTTTTCTTTTGTTTTCTAAAACAGTAAACCAGTGACAATTATGGTTGAATAATATTTGTTTTGTATTTTAAAGATAAAAGTGTTTGGTATATGAGAATGTTTGTTCATTGAGTATCTAATATGTGTATAAACACATAAACTACATTGCAAGCATCATTCAATCTCAAAATAAATATGTAACAATTTAAAGCCAGTAACAACTAAATCAAACAAGCAATAAGTTTCAGGTTGATATTTCCACAATATACCATTCCTTGCTCAAGAGTTGATATAGGTATGGGAAGCCTCAGTTCAGCAACAAGTCCTGGCAAGGCTCGAGAGATGCAGCCCGCTAGAGTTATCTTAATTTCAGACGAGCGGCCATCCAGCATAACAACCTTACGAGGATACTCCCTCCCATTGATCGACAAGTATTCCTCATGAAAACTTTCATCCTTTCCATATATATAAGCTAATGAGGACGATGACATCCAGGCAAAGAGTGCCATAAACATTGTGGAAAAGGGTGATAGCTGAAATAAAACCCAACTCAAATGACCAGCTTGAGATAATGAAAACAAATGAAAATTATAGTAGATGAAGTAGCTTTTTTGGATAAAAACTCAAACAGCTAACTTACTGATAAGTTAAAGCCCTCTGGTGGACTATCATACCAAGAATCCTCAGAGTCAAGAAGATCAGCCTCTGAAAATCCTGGTTTTGGAGGCCACTTTAGTTGAAGTGGTTCTGTATCCACCACATCACTATTCTCTTCAGATTTAACTTCACCCTCTCCATGAGGAGGTGGCAATATTATAACACCCGCTTCAGATGCTGAATGTTAAATTTGAAATGAGAACCAAGCCAGACAAAGCATTTTGTTTGTTAACAGCATATCAAATTAAAACTCGGCAAATAAGTTTCATATTGGGAAGAGAACTTCTTACCAGCGTGAGATGCTTCACATTCTCCTGATGCTACAGCTTCTGCAGCTTGGCTTAAAGCCATTGCACAGGCTTCAGCAGATACGAATATGTACGACTCTTGCCCCACTTCATCATCTTTTAATTCTTTGACGTCACAAAGGTTTCTCCCATCAGCATTAGTTTTCTCATCGGCCCAGGTAACAGATCTGTTTGCTCTATTTGAATCCGAAGTCTTCAAAGAGGACTTCCTAACAGAAGCCGCCAAATCTTTTCCCAACTGCGATTCCTTTCCATCCGTCTGAGCGCCAGTTTGGCTGGGACCAGCAGTAGTATTTTCATTTACACAGACCTTATAATCCATGGCAGTCACATCCTTAGACTTATCATAAAATTTCTCGGATCCCTGCTGGAGTTCCTTTCCACCCTTTTTAGCGACATTTTGACTAGGCCCAACAATTTTATCTTCTAATACACCGACCTTACCATCAGATGTACTCACATCCTTAGATTTATTTAAGTTTTTGGATCTCTTTTCTTGAGTGCTTGCTGATGGAGCATTTGGCTTCTGAGTCAGGTTACCCTGGTGATTCACTTCATTACTTCTCGCTTTTCCTTTTTTATCTTTATCCTTTATGGGAGGCACAATTTTTGAGACGTTGTACTCGTCTTGAGTAATAATCACACTTGTGAAGTCCATGTCCTCATAAGAAAGTCCTGATACATTTGATAGCAGCACAAGTCATCAACTGAACACATTTTTTCATAAAAAGGAAAAAAAATAAAAAAGACACAAGAATATTACCTCAACACAATACAAAAAGAACACACCAGAACACCAAACTTACCAATGTGTTCCTTTTTTCCACTTTCTCTATCATTATTCGACCACCCAAGTTCCATATTTTTTTCCCTCCGTGGCACATAGCCATCGATCGCGTTCGAAGGACCAATCCACTCCTCCACGGACACTTCACCAGCTGTTGTGCCCATTTTCTCCTCAATCCTCAAACCAGAAAGACCCATATCCCCACCCCCGCTTGTCACCGCATCATCAGGACCCAAACTTGGCCCATAAAATAGATTCAGAATTCCACTCAGTTTTGCCGGCTTCAGATCTGAGGGCCTCTCCTCCTTCAAACTTGCAGCAAAGGCCCGGCTGTTTATCAAGCAGCTGGTCGAGCAGTACATGTACGTCTCCTGGAGGTCATAGACCTTGTGCTCCTTGAGCGAGACCCTGTAACGGCCTTTCCAGGGCCGTTCAGTGGGCAAAGGATTGGTGCAGAGTGAGTGCCCACACATGCCAGCTATTGAGCGCTCGGTCACCACATCTTGGTAGTCACTTTGAGAAAGGAGTGCGCTGGAGGTCATGAGCTGGCTCTCGTGCTTGATTCCCTCCAGAAGAGAAAACTGAAGCTTGAGGACTGCATCCTTCACAGTCTGCACCTCATGCTTCATGGTTTCCTGGGGGTAAAAAGCAGAATATAATAAATTTCAGCATTTAGCCCAACCAAGATCAATTGAAACAGCTAAGCCCGATTTTCATGGGATTCCTCGAGCTAAAGGCCAACCCAACAACTAAATAATGAAATCATCATGCATCAGTTTCATGATCAACCATCAAATTAGGAATTTCGTTCCTAAGGAGATATTGATTTTCAAGACCTGTAGTACCAATTCATTAAATTTACTACATTTACATTAACAAACACGTAAATTCACAAAATTGAGTTTTTCTCTCTCTCTCTCTTTTTTTTTACAGGAAATTGTTCAACAAAATTACCAGAGAATCCATTGAATTCAGCAATCACTCAGAATCAGAAGGGAAAGCTACGAACTCAAAATTCCCAGTTGTGAAGCAATAGTCCCTTTCTCTTTGCAAACACGCTCGTGCACCAACCCAGGCGGCTGCACAGGAGAAACAGCACGAGAAGCCTTGGTGCTCAACAGCTTTTAATGGCAGTAATCAGTGGAAACTGAAAGGAATAATTCCTTGGTATTATTATCTGCAATTAGGGGTGAGCAACGGTGCAGTTAGGTTAAAAACCGAACCAAAAACAAAAAATCTAAAAACTGTACACCGATCTGAACCTCAAGGAAAGAAAAAAACAGACTTTAGAGTTTCTCAAACCTCAGTAAAAAAAGGCAAAACATAAATCAAAGTTAAAACCATTTAAATTGAACCAGACTTATGCAGCATATTCATCATTCGTTATAAACTATGAATTAAATTAAACCAGAACGGGGTTAGGGATGGGTCTAAGAAGTCGAACAAGGGGATGCGAGAAGTCGACCAAACCAGAACGAGTACTGACCTAATTAGATTCAGGAGTAGGGGGATGAGAGAGCGAGCGAGAACGAGAGTGGGGCGTTGAGCGGAGCGCCGGGGAGCCGAAAGCCAAGAATGGAGAGCGGCGGTCGAGCGGTAAAGGCGATTGGCGACTAGTGTTAACCGAGAGAGAGCAGAACGACTATGGCGAAACTCAAAATTGAAGGATTTTTATGGTATTCAGTTTAAACTTTGAAAGGCTTTCCTTATAAAGACTACGAGTTGCTCCCTGCAGTGCACCGGCCCAAATTTTGTTCATAGAAAATTAGTGTCACCTAAGGGCTCGTTGTTTGTTTCGAACCATGGGATTGGACTAAAATAGTACAATGGATTGTACTGTTTTGGATAAGTATAATCATATGTTTGTTATGTATGATAAGTTGTTAGATAACTTTTATCGTAAAATTTATTATTTTTTTTGGTACAAAAAGGGAGGCCAGAGGCCTAAAGGTTGATTAAGCTAGGACTCGTCTGGGATGGGATACCCCGATGAGATCATGGTCAAGCCATGTGCCCATGCCCACGGGAGGCGAGTGGACACGCTGCATACCCAGTGGGGAGAACGATGCCAAGCTCACCATATAGTCAACAGCAAAATTTGCTTCCCTATGCACGTGTTGGATCTTGACGTGCCACTCTTTGTGGATTAAACTACGAATGGCCTGGACAAGTGCATCATGAATTCCAAACATCACTCCGAGCCCAAGGATCATTGTCGTCACACATTGGCTATCAACTTCGGCAATAACCTGGCGGTAACCCAGGTCCCAAGCCAGCTGAAGACCTTGAAACAAACCCCAGAGTCCATCCCCTGTGATAGTGCTCAACCCGATATTCAGTAAAAACCCCTCGATCCATCTTCCGGCCTCATACCGGAGAAGGCCTCCCGCACTACTTAGGCCCGTGTTGCTTTGAAAAGCTCCATCTGTATTCACTTTGACCCATCCCGACTCAGACGGGCACCATCTTATCCAACGTGTGACGTGAATGTGGGCACCCACCTTTTGAAAAGCTTCGACCGCTCGGCCATAGGACTCGGTCAGCCTCAATACTTCCAGACCTCTAAATTCACCGTTATAAGACCGGTGGTTAAATATGCGGTCATTCCTCCACCTCCACGTACACCAAGCTGCATGGGCGAATATACTATTCCAGTTAGCGCACGGCCCTACCTTTGCCTTTGCCAGATTGTACTCGATCCAGCACTTGAGCAGCTGTTGGAAAAAGGTCCCGCTTATTTGCCCCGGAAGCAGTCGAGTCCACAAAGACTTCGCAGCGTAACGCATGAAAAACCGACTCGTCTTCTCCACAGAAATCGCAGGCCGCTGAGTGTGAGATATGCCCTCGCACTCGTTCCAAATTGGTCAGTAGTCTACCTCTAGCCGTGAGCCACAAAAAATTACGGGTCCTTTGCGAGGCCGGTGCTTTCCAAATAAGTTTCCATAGGGACTGATCGGGATCTATCGTCGGTGAGTGTAAACCTTTCTAGGCCGTGCGTGTAGAGAAAATACCATAATGTGATAGTCCCCACATAATTCTATCCTCGCCGGCCGATTCTCTCGGAGGTAAGGATCCGGCAATGCGCATCACTATGGTGGATGGGAGAAACCCATGAAACAGGTCCCACTTTCAGTTGTCGCGCTCGTCAACAAAGGCCGCCACTTTCGAATGAGGGTGGCTTCCGATGGCTGACTGGTCACATATCTCACCAACGGGCCGCCCGTGCCTAACCAAGGGTCCAGCCAAAAGCAAGTAGTTTCACCATTGTCTATACTCCACCGTATACCTTCATCTATTTCGAGCCAAATTTGATTGAGTGCTCTCATTAGACTCGACCCTTGCCTGTTATGGAGAGTGTCCAGGCGAGACGATAGATTGACGTCGTATTTTGCTGTCAAATCCCTCACCCAAAAGGAGTCGTGCTTCGTCAAAATCCCCCATCCTAGATTCATCAGTAGGGCGGTATTCATGCGACGCATGTCCTTTAATCCCAGGCCCCCTTCACCTTTAGGCTTACAAACATCCTTCCACGTGACCAAGTGTAGCTTCATCCGCTCTTCTGAGCCACCCCACACAAAGGCTCGGGTTCGTTTTTCAATTCCGTCTATGGTTGCACACGGTAGCTTGGCCGATTGCATTGAGTAGTAGGGCAGCGAGTTAAGGACCGATTGGGTAAGTGTAACTCGCCCGGCTATCGACAATGATTTCATTCGCCAACCGGCAAGGCGTGATTCGGTTTTCTCCAGAATATGGGCATAGGTGAGTTTGGTCACTCTGCCGTGGAGCATGGGCATGCCTAGGTATTTACCCAGGTTATCCGTCCACTTGAAACTAAGAGAATCCGCTAGTCTACGTTGTTCATTGATCCCTACATTGTTGGAAAAGCAGACTAACGTTTTCTCCGATCTAACTCGCAGTCCCGAGATATTATAGAAATGCTCAAGAACATCTCTCAGGACCCCCGCTTGCTCGTTCGTGGCCTCCAAGAAAAGCAGTAAGTCATCCGCGAACATCAAAAAAGGGACCTCGACAGACCCTCTTCCGACATACATTGGGCGCCACGTTGACTGTCCTACCGACTGGCATATAAGTTGCGCCAATCGCTCCATGCATAGGACAAATAGGTAAGGGGACATAGGGTCACCTTGTCGTACCCCTCTAGTAGGTCAAAACTCCTCCCCAACCGTCCCATTCCACACCAAAGCCATCGTAGCCGAACTAACACAGGCCATGATAGCTTTTATAAAGGGGCCCTGATAGCCGTCCTGCCACAAAGTTTCCTCAATGAAATCCCATCGGAGGTAATCGTAGGCCTTCTCGAGATCAACTTTGATAACCATATATCCTCACGTTCGTCGTTTACTACGCATGGAGTGAATAAGCTCTTGCGCTACCACAATATTGTCTATGATCTGGTGTCCCAGTACAAAGCTAGCTTGTGCTAGATGGATCAGGTCCGGTAATGATTCCTTCATGCGGCTCACCAAAATTTTGATAAAACAGTTTATAAATGACATTGAGCAGACTGATGGGTCGGAATTGTCTAATTGTGTGAGCATTCTCCACCTTTGGGATTAAAACGAGTAGCGTCTGATTTACTTCATTCGGTACCGCACCTTCTCGCCACATGTTCCGAAGAAAAGCCTGAACCGAGGGCCCGATGGTTTCCCAGATTTTCTTGTAGAACAAAGCATTTAGCACATCCCTGTCGGGTGCTTTTAATGCACCCATGCTATGCAAGGCCGAGGTGACTTCTTCGTCTGAGATGTCTGCCGCCAAATTTAGCCTCTCGGGCCCAAGTCGAGTAGTAAATAAATTAGGCTCCTCCCCTCGCGTCGTCGGAATTTGCCCAGCCGTATAGATCCCTTTAAAAAATTTGGTGGCTAGCTGACGAAGTTTCATTTGGTCGGTGACCGGGTTGCCATCAGCATCAATCAACTCCGTGACACGAACCCGTCGTCTATGGTGCTTGATCTGTCTATGGAAGTAAGACGTGTTACGATCGCCCAATTGCAGCCAATCCCGAGTAGATTTCTGGGTTAGTAGCAGCTCTTCTTGCATAATCACGTCGTCCAGTTCTTGCCTCAACTGTTGCTCCAGAGTGACCAGGCTTTCCTTGAAGTAGAAACGTCTGCTTCGCTGAATCCCTCATATTCGGGCCAGAAGCCGCTTTTTGCGCCGAAATATGTTGCCAAACACCGTGAAATTCCATTCCTTCGCCTTATCTATGAACTTCGCTGCCGCCTCGGTAATAAGGGAAGGGTGCCAGGTGTCGTGTCGCAAATTTGAAAATCCCGGGTGTAGAAGCCAGGCTGCTAGAAACCGAAAAGGTTTGAGTCTTGATGTGTGAAAATTCTATCTACCAAAGTCGAGTATAAGGGGTGAGTGGTCAGAGTTTATACGTGGAAGAAGTTGAACCCGACCCCTCTCGAAATTCTCCAGCCAGGCCAGGTTCGCCACAAATCGATCTAGCTTCTCTGAAATTCTCCCATTTTGGCCCTCCCTAACCCAAGTGAAGGAGTGACCGTCTGTAGCAACCTCTTGGATGCTATTGGTGAAGAGCCAGTCCGAGAACTCCTGGCTAATATTACAGGAGTTGGAGGAGCCACCCATTTTTCCGACTTACGGAGGAGGCAATTAAAGTCACCCCCAACTAGCCACGGTTCCGATATGTTAGCCGCCAAGTATTCCAGCTCCTCCCACAAAAGTCTACGAACTCTTGCATTGGGGCTGGCATAGATAAAGGTAACCAAACATTCCACTCCATCCTTTGTTGCTCGGACATGGATTAGCTGTTTAGAATAATGCAGCACGTCAATCTTCAAGTCCGCGGTCCACATAAGCCAAATACCCCCTCAGAAGCCCCGAGCTTCAACTCGAAATGAATTCTCGAACTTAATAAATCATACGAATTTGTCCGCATTTACCCCACTGATACGTGGTTCAAAAATAGCAAAAATATCCAGTTTGTACTGATGTACTAAGGTTGAGAAGGCACCCTGGAAACCCGGCGAACCTGCCCCTTGGACATTCCATGTTATGATATTCATGGGAAAACTAGGAATTAGACACGGATGAACGGTATTAAACGAGGGGTTGTACGTGTGAGGTCGAGACTTTTTCAATGCCCATTGGCTGATTTCCATGAGGGTTCTTCCGAACTATTGCTCGTATACGGTTCCTCCGGCCATGGCTTCTAGCGGCGGACATTATGTTCCCCTTCCGTCATAAGGGCATCCCTGGCTGAGTCTACAACTGGGTCGTGTTGGGAGGTGTGGGTGGATGATATTAGGCCATGTTCATCCTCTACAATAATTGCACGGTGTTTGGACGGGTCGAGCCCAGCGCCTACGATAACTGGACCTGATTGTGGCTGCATGTGAACCTTGGGTGTGGGACATGTACTCTTCTGATTCTGCCCGTTTGTATTTTTCGAAGTAGTGCTCTTTCCACGGGTTATGCCTTCAGAAACACTCTGCAGCACGGGTCTACTTCTCATCATGGGTCCACTAGTGTCAGTACCATTCTTAGAACTCACATTAGCTCTATTCTTTTTCTTTCCCGTCACCACTCTCCAATCTCGTTTTCCCGTACCTTTCGTGATTAAGCTCTATCCCGTAATGTCGTCCACCCTTTTCTCCGTAGAATGGGCTCTAAATTGGAAAGTCTGGTTAAGATCCCTTGTTTCCTCTTTGTCCAACACATCGAACCGGGAGCCTAGCTTCGAGGGGGTGTGCAGATTCTTGTCGGCTG